TATTATTATTAAGAAGCTGTTCACTTTCAACTTCAGCATTTAGGTTATTTATTAAATATACTATCTTCATCATCATTGTCATACACAGCTTATTCAACCATTTCCAATTATGGTGTAGCCTCTCTCACATTTTTAGATACTCTCTTTGTAGTTGGGCCCATTGTTGTCTATTGTTGGCTATGCTGGCCCAAGTTATCCCTGGTAATTTCTTAACATCATGGTCCCAGCTGAAGTTTGGGCTTCCTCTAGGTCTCTTGATTCCTCGTGGGTACCATGCTGTAATTTTTGTGGTCCAGTTGTTCTTGCCAAGTGTCCTGCCCATTACCACTTGAAGGATTTGATTAAGTGGATGACATTTATTACCTGGGTCTTTTGTCGTATCCACTTTATTCTTTTACGGTCTTTCTTGGTTATTCCCAAGCGTATTTCGTTGAGCGTTGTGCGACCTGCAGTTTCCTTATAATGTCCCTAAATATACTACACATTAATAAAAATTTCCAAGAAATATTTAGAAACCACTGCATTACCAACATTCAGATTAAACTTTTGTTTGTTAACATTTTTTAGTTATATACTTTTTCTGGTCTTTTATTATTAAAAACAGAACGTTTTGACAGCATTAAAAACAGAACCTTTTGACAGCAACGGAAACATATCATACCAAAACAGTTAAATATTAGATTAACAAAGTTGTGTACGTTAAATGTGATCACCATCAATGTGATAATTGTGTTAATCATCTACTGATTATTCTAATCGTAAATACACATTCATGGTTAGAGAAACATAAATAGACCACAAAACCAGTCACTAAGTTAGGGTACGTTTATGTTGGAGCTGCGATAAACGATAAAAGCAGTGAATTAGCTGCTCTTATCGTTGCTCAACTGCCAACCGTGTCTCGACGCGTTGCTCCAATATAAACACCTACATATAAATTAATATAATACTATTCTTTGCTTCGCTACTATCGCTGCTCTTATCGTTTATCGTTTTTAACATAAACGCACCCTTAAGAAGAAAAAAGAAACAAATTAAAACACAAAAAAACTAATTCGAGAACACTTAACAATATTTTTTCCGGTCTATCTTATAATCACAGAGTTACGTTTTCTATCAATAAACAGACTGACATTTGTTAATAATACATAAAAAGCACGAAGTAAATTCTGCATTTTATATGCATATATAATACACTTTATATGCATTTATGTTACATATTTAACTATTGCTTATATCTACAGATATTTCAGCGATTAATTTATTTATACTTAATTTAATTAATAGTATCTCTCTACTTTTTATTTTTGGCGATATAATTTGAATAGATACTTGACTATTTAAATTGTTATTGAATAATTACATTGTATAATATGTTATTACCTGTCATTCAAATTCACATTCTACAAGAATATCACTAAATTTAAAACTTTCTATCAAACATTTAGCGCAAAGATAAAAATACATTTTGTAAGTTTTATCGATTGATATTAACAACTAGCAATTATTTGTGAATTTTTGTGACGGTCAATATCCTTTTTATTGGCAATCTTTCTGGCAATAAAATATTTACAATTCTTTTTAATTACACGTCCAATGTTCATTTATATAGGATGAATTTAAAAGAAATCAGAATTTGTAAAAATACTTATTTTCTTTGACCTTAAAATGACTAACTCCAAAGAAAAGAAGATAAATTGGTGAAATATTCGGAAGGAAATACAATGCAAAGAAAATTACATTTTAAATGGCCGCTTAAAGATAACTGCTTCAGACCCTTAGTATAATTAGAGAAGTTTAATTAAACTAAGAGCATAAAGAAGCTATTATCTCGAAACCCCAAAACATTCCTTGGACCTTCTTTTTTGTACAGTAAGTACAACGACATTACTGATACTGATAGCACTTTTTTATTTATTGAAAAAAATTAAAAATCCCGAAATTTAATTATTCGTGAAATGAAAGATAATGATTAATAAAAATCGTGACACGGGAAGTTGCACGAATTAAATTTAATTGCTTTGGTTCCAATTTTTCTTGATTGATTCTATGTTTTTTTCTAATTTCGATTTTTTTTAATAAGACAACACGTATACACTCAAAAGCCCTCTTCATTAACCGAGTCTCTCAAATTGAGGATGTAATAACCCTTATTTAATTTCTTGCACACTATTTCTATTTGATCTGACAAGCTCAAAGTTTTATCAAGTGTGGTTCCCAAAAATTTTACAGTTTTTTCCGGTTTAATAACAACATTTTTATCTAGACTTGTAACTAAATTATCTTGTATCGGATTTTGACTAAAATAGAAATTAACACATAGAGTTTTAGAATGATTTATCACTAACTTATTTCTATTGCACCATGGGCTAAATTGTTGTATAACCATTTTTGACTTATCATATAGTTCGTTTTCGGTCTTTGCTGACAACATTACCGAAGTATCATCAGCATACAAAAACACCCGACCAGTTGTTATGTAGTCAGGGGTCGTTAATAAAAATTAAAAAGAGCAACGATCCCAGGACACTGCCTTGGGGCACACCGGACTCCATAAGAAAACTGGAAGATTTTACTTTATTTATTTTTATTTATTTTCTCTATTGTTTAAATTCGATCTTATCCAACCAGCGAAGTTTCTTCTTAAACCTACCGCTTGCACTTTCTCCATAATAAACTAGACGACTATAAAGTCCAAACTATCAAAAAGCTCGAGAAAAGATTAAAAAATCAAATCCACGACCAAATCTTTATTTTCCAGTCTATCGTGAATATATTGTACAAGGTGAGAAGTAGCTGTTTATGTTGAGCAACTCTGTCTAAAACCATATTGTTCTTTTGCAGAATATTATTTTTTCCAAAAATTATTAATTTGTAATGTGCTGCCTTTTCCATTACTTTTGAAATGATATTTAATAACGCAATTGCTCTGTAATTATTTACTGAGGTCATAACATCTTGATATTATGGCAACATAGGTAGTAGATTATAGTAGATACTATTTACAAAAAAAGAAATCCAGAAAAAATCCAGCCGTTTCTCAAACTATCAATAAACTATAATTTTCTTAAAAAAAATTCAAAATAAAATAAACAGCCCTGTAAATATTTGCACATATTTAAGACTCTATATAATGACGACAACTATAAAATTATTTTAATATCATCTAGAGATTTCCTTCAGGAAAAAATAAAACTAGTTCGGACTTACCAACCCTCCCAATATAGTGTACCCGGCCAGAGCAACCAACAGACCCACGTGCTGGCAGAAAGTCTTCAACCGGAGCCGTTGGAGCCAGTCGCGCCACGCGAGACTTAAAGTCCATCGAGGCACTGATGAGGACGCGCCGCGTCTCGCCGATCAGAGGCGTCGCGGCGCCTTTCTGGTCCTCGTCGGTTTCCGCCATAGCCGGCTAAAAATAGCACTTGGTGGTGATTTTGGAGTGTCGTAATTGAGGTAAGTAAGGTGATTGGAGGGTTGTTGATAGAAACCAAGATGGAATATGTGGTTACATGGTTTACTGGTAGATTGTGAGTTTGTAGTACAAGCTGAAACAGAAAATAAGAGAAAGTAAATAAAAAGTAACATTACATAAATTATTAATACCAGTGATGAGCAACTGCAAGACCAGGAGCAAGAGTTTCTTGGCGTTGGTCTTGCAGTCTAATAAGTAGTCTTAATATTATCAATAGTACTGATGAGCAAATGCAAGATCAAGACCCAGACCCCCTTGGTATTGAACTTGCATCTAATATGTAATTCTGATCTTGGTCTTGCTGCCAGACTCTAAAAAAATCTTCAAATAGACAGATTACATCAATTTAAGACTTGATAAGACTTGCAAGGGTCTGGCAACAAGACCAAGATCAGCATTTCTGCCATGTAAATTATTACATGGCACCCAGAGTAGGAAGACCTTGTTTTCTTTGCTTAATTTGTTCAGCATCTCTATAAGCATTCTTTGCCCAACTTCGAATTGATTGATATTGAGTTGATCGCTTTTAAAGCTGCTTGACTATCAGATAAAATTACTATTTCTTGTGTGCGATAGTTCCTATCTAAGATAACTTGTAGGCATCTTTCGATAGCGTATATTTCTGCCTGTAGAATGCTAATGTAGGTGTCCATTAGTTCGGAGTATTTAGTTCACGGCTCAAATACTCCGGTCCCTATATTCCTGCATTGATTTTGGAAGCATTGGTATAGTTATGGTGTGGTCTTTTAACTGCTGAGCAAATGTTTCTCTCTTCCAATTCTTTATATTGCTCAATACTACATTGAGGTGTTTCTCAAAGTTGTACAATCATGGTATGTTATCCACTGGGAGTTGGAGGAGTGGTATTTCCTTTTTGGACGTTGTTAGAGACCATTCTAATCACTGTCGCATTGGCATATCTACCGATTATGTGTTATGTCTAGAATGATATCCATTGCTGCTATTGAGCAGGTTCTCATGGCTCCCGCGCAGATGCATGCTAGTCTCCGGATTTTGCACAGGTTTAGCCTTGCCGTACGTTGCTCTAGTTTTGTGCACCAAGCAACTGCTCCATAAGTAATCATGGGTCTTACTATCATGGTATATATTCAGCGCGAAATGTTTTCTAGTGTAATCTATTTCCCTTCAATTTTCTACATATCATGAGAGCTTTTGCTGGTTTGGATGTTCGTAATATGCCTTTTCCATAGAAGTTTACTGTCCAGGGTTAAACAACTATTCAAGAAGTCAGATTTCGAAGAAATTTTCGATAGACGACATCGAAAAACTGAATTAAAATACCATTTATCTGTGAATTTAAATATCAGACACAACTGTCACTTTTTTTGGTCAAACTACAATGAGGTAGGGCCAAAATTATTAAAACTTTCTAATATGAAATATGGAATATTTTGTTGAATAACAACATTGTTGTTATGTGTGTTAGATTAAGTGGCATTTACAAAAAATAACTATATATTTTTAGTTCTTTATATGAATGGCAAAATGGCCATATGTTTTTCTGTAACAATTATAACTGGTATATATTATTAAGTTTTTACAACAATTAAAAGGTTATCCTTATAAATTTGCCTTTAACTTAATTTTTCTGTGTAAATATCTACTTCTAAATTCGTAATGCTGGAAAACTAATTTATGCTTTCGATAACCGTTTCCATTCTCAATTTACACGAAAATAATAAAACAAACACTTATTCCTCTTAGTTTGTAAACAGTAAGCCTCTAAATTTATCTCCACTTACTTTTAGATAATGATTAATCATTGTCACATACAGAAAATTTGTAATGATCAATAGGGAATTATTATTTCTTCTACATCTGGAATGTATACAAAACCTAAAATGAGAATATTTTTTAAATCTTTGTCAATAAAATAAGAAAAAATAAATAATAATATAATAAAACAGCATTTCGATAAACAGTCAACACTAGATTTTATAGGATAATTAGACATTTTATAGTACATATGACATTTTCGTCGTTTTTGAAAAATCAGAACATTTTGTTACTCAGTGCTAATTGTAAACGTACTTCTCGGTTGTAATTCTGTAGAAGTTTTATGTTTACGAAATCAAGCAAAGATGGCTAACCAAATGAGTGTGATTTTTATAGCAAAATAAAACGTGTGAACACAAGCGCAGTTTTCTGTCTTTCAGTAACACTGAATCAGTCAGACTGCTTTCAGTTTCAGTGAGACTAACAGTGAGAGGTAATCTCTGTAAGATTACACAAATCGTGCTTAAGAAAACTAGGTTAGGATAAGTTAGGCTGTTCGGTTTGGAATCATGTTTGATCCCTCGAAGGCCTCGAAGGTATTGAACCAAACCTTCCCCTCATTCTTTCTTTGCGTTAAAGCATTTCCAGCTCTTTGCAAAGCTCCCGATGTCGCTGAAGTTGGCTTCTGCTGCTTCCTGTAGTCCCTCCAAAAAACATTGCCATAAAATTTTAAAGTGTCGGTATTCCAGTGCCGGACAGTGGCACAGCAGGTGCTCTACGGTTTCTTCTTACTCTCCATATTCTCTGCAGTAGTACGCCGACGACTGGGGCAGTTTCCAGTAATGTCACCTACAATTTTGCATACTTTTTGTGCTCAAGTAGATGTTTTGTCTTTTTGCTATCTATCACTGGCCACAATCTTCGAGCTGTAACGCAGTCCTCAGGGTGTTGCCACGTCTCTTGCTGCTTGGCCTTGATGATAGTTCCTATAGCTTCCTTCAGTGTGTCACAAGTGGTGGGTCATCTGCCACGGTCTATCCCCTGGCTTCCTCTTTGGCAAGTTTTTGTGCTTCTTGGTTGGCCAGGACATTTCTGTGGCCTGGCATCCAGTACAGAGTCCCGTCTTGACGCAGCCAGCACAGTGCTCCTCGGCAGTCCCATCACAGGTTTCGATCTCACTGATTGCATGGTGATGCTTGTTAAATGCCCAAGCTGTCAGAGTTTGTCACGATATCTCCTACTGGTCTATCGATTTTCCCTTGTAGACAACTAGCTGCTTCCTTTATAGCGCAAACCTCTGCTTGTAGAACATTACAGCCATTCGATAGCCTTAAAGATTTAATTTTTTACTTAATTGTTTAAGAGAACAACTAGTAAGTCAAAATCCTTCTCCATCGGCGCGCGGCGTATCCAGAGTATGTATTTTTTTCGGTTTTAACAAGAAAAAATGACTCATATTCATCTGAAACCATCAATGCAGTAAAATATTGTAATAACTTTATTTAAAATAATAAACACACCTTTCAGTGAGTAATTTGTATATTCATTTAATAAATACATTTAAAAATTAATGTCAATGTTACATTATGATCAAAGGGAATTATTTTTCTAATTCTTGACGAAAACGAAACGTAAACTTTAAGTCAGAGAAAAAAGATATTTTTAAATTGGGATTGATTTTCTGCTTATTTAACACGTTTGTAAAAAATATGTTAAGAAAACTAATTAATTTTTCAAAATGTATCAATCGATAATGTGTTGTTGGATAATTTAAAGGATTAAATAAATTATACACAAGTTTTGGTCTTTTTATAACATACGATAAAAAAACGGCGTCATAGACGGCTGTTCAAGCCCTAGGCGTCATTTACAGATGGCCTTAAGAAGGTTTTAATTTATTTTTGTATTGAATAAAAGTGATTTTAAATGGTACACTTTAAAATTTGAGAAAAAAATATTTTTTTTTGGAAACAGATTGGTGCGTCTGCTGGAAACGTTCTATTCTTCTTTAATCTTTCTATATGTGTTAATTTTTAAAAAGTTTTATATTAATTTTTGGCAAATGACGTGTAGAAATTTATTTCGCGAAAATGATTGTGAACAATAGCAAAAAATATAACGTTGATCAAAATTAATAATAACCATCTAGCAAAGAATGGAATTGAAATTATATTAAACGCCTTTTGATTTTTAGGACTTTGGAAAAATTATTTTCGGAAAAATTAGAAAAAAAGAGTGAATAAAGCATAGATGTAAAATAGTTCAAACCATTACAGATTTATTTTGAAATAAATATTTTCTTAGTTTCTTACACATATAAGGTGAGTTTCTTAGGATGTTCTCTATGGGTATCTCGGAAACTACTGGAGATAGAGAGTCGGTTAAATGGGGAAAGAATTGCAGTTTTGTGGGGTCATAAATATGCGCCTTTCAGATTTTTGAAAAAGTTCATTGCTTACTAGATATTTCGAAAAAAAGAAATTTTGGTTCTAAATCTAATTCCATTATAATCTATTTTAGAAAAAAAGTTTTCAGATAAAAGTTGTAGATAATCTCATCCCTTAATGAGTTTCTGTTCTCCGATTTTTTCTAAAGCCTGTCATTTTTGACATATGACACAAACATATGTTTTTTTAAATGGAAACCATAGTTGGTCACGACTTCATAAAAAGCGCCATTTTTTAAGCTTTTCAGCGATATAGGTCGACTTAATTAAACTTGTCCTGTACCGTTTCTTCGAGTGCCTCTCTTAATTCATAAGTTCTGTTGTAAACCTTGTTGTTAACCATACCGCATAAAAAAATCTAAAATGGATAGGTCAGGTGATCGAGGAGGCCCATGCAATTGGTCCACCTCTTTCTTTCCCTGAGTCTACATAATTATGATTTTTAATATTTTTTTGATCGTGTGGGAGGGGGGTGGTGTCATTGGTGTCATAAGAGAGTCATATTAATGCACTCTATTAATGCGCGAGTACCTAAATTTAACTTTTCTAACATATCTTGAAAACCGTTCTCTAAAAAAACGTAAGTAACGTTCACTGGACAACGTATCCTCGAAACTGTATGACCAAGAAAAGTTTAACCAATAATCCTACACGCTTTTCTTCATTTGAAAAATTCATATTTACAATTTTTGTTTATATTAATTTACAAAGTTTGGATGTGACAGTTTCACATTTCTAAGAGCAACGA